ATCAACAAGAATTAATTACCCAGGACTGAATGAAATGATGAATATAACTTTTATGACTCATATCTGAAATACCACATCTTTTTACTCTTTGCTTTCCTAATATAAGGAAACCTTTTCTCTTAAGCTAATTATGATTTATAGCAATTTGCTGAATTATATCTTTGTAACAGAATTGAAACATTTAGATTTAGTCTCCCTGCCTGGTCCCTCCTGAATTTGGAAACTCTTAGTGAGTATTCTTATTTTCGTGACAATATACTTATTTGCATAAATATACTAAGAATCTGTTCTCCTTGTAACAGGGCATAACTGGAAACACTGGTTATATTACCAAGGCTTTGACCAAAATCTTGTATTGAAAAGAGGCACACATGGCCTCAGAGATGACCAGACAGCTTTAAGGAACTAAGACTGACTTTATGGCTCCATAAAACCCCCTGCATACAGGGTTCCCAATAGCCTTACCAGCTGAGTAAGGAAGGTCACTTCCTGCAGGTGCAGAAACCTAGGGATATTTGGGGGACCTCAAGAAGAGAGGAATTAACATAAATCTATTACAGGTGAGTCTGATGGCAATTCCTTAGCATGGTTTCCTGATCTTGAAATACTGTTAAAATTTCAGTCTGGAGATTCCTTATGAAAAGTTCCAGCAAAGCATATTTAAACATGTCCGTTGGGTCAGTTACTATTTTTGCTTTGTTATGTACGTTATTTGCTCGGGTGTGTCCGACTCTTTGCAACTCCATGGACTGTTAACAGGCCAGATCCTTCTGTCTGCCAAGGGCCCAGGTTAGAGAACTAAGATCCCACAAGCCACATGGCATGGCATATATATGTGTATCTATCTATCTATCTATCTATCTATCTATACACACACACACACACACACACACACTGGTGGTTGTATTAATTACAAAAAAAAGATGATTTTCTTCCAAGTCTGCTAATTTTCTACTATTTGAAATTTTATCAGTTTTTCCACTATATATTTGGGCCTATATTACTAGGTGAATATAAATAAATACTGGAGTATTTATTTTACTAGGTGAATATAAATAAATACTGGAGTAGGAAATGGCAACCCATTCCAGTATTCTTGCCTGGAAAATTCCATGGACAGAGGAGCCTGGCGGGCTATAGTCCATGGGGTCACAAGAGCCAGACATGACTGAGTGACTTTTACTTTCACATAAATAAATACAGTGGAAAGTTTTTACTATCATCAAGTGACCTTTTCTAGCTACCATAATACTTTTTGACCTACAGTCTATTTTCTATAATATTAATATTTCTATATTATCATTCTTTTGCTTGGTATTTGATTAGCATCCTTTCCATCTTTAACTTGTCTGTTTCTTTATATTTAGATGTGTCTCAATAAATAGAACACAGTTGTATATTTTAAGCCCAATGTTAAATACTCATTTTTAAATTGGGGCAGTTCATCCATAATTATTATTATATGGATTTAAATCTATCATATTTTAAAATGTTCTTCTACAGTTCTTTTTCATTTTCATTTCACTGCTCTGAATGATCTCGATGTTTAAAATTATCCCATTTTCTCCACTTGTTTGTATCCTATTCAAAATCATATATCCTGTCTCTATTCTTTCAGTGGTAACCCTAGAAATCTGACATGTATTATTATATCAATATCTAATGTTAATCAGGACTTTACTGTTACACACACATACACATACACACCTCAGTACATTTGTGAAAGCACAGGGAAATATCTCTAAAGATAATGATATCTCCCAACTTTTCACAGTTTTTACAGGGTGGCAGGGGTACAAGGGTGTGATACTGCGGGGGCGGGTGGAGACTTAGGATTCATCCCACTTTTCACTGTGGTGCATGTATACATTAAATTATGACCAAATATTAGCCTTCACTATTTTACTTATATATATAGTATGTTATTGTACTCATACTTTGTGTAACTCACTTTGCATTTACTACAGTATATTTTGAATATGATGTCTTGCCTATAATCAATATTATTTTAGAATTGAATCTGAATGGTGAAAATACAAAATCTTTTTTCCAACCCAAATTAAAATGAAAAAAGCATTTAGCATATATTGTTGGCAATTTGAAATTAAGAATGAGGTTGGTACAGGTAGGGAATTTTGTGATCAGTAGAGCAGTTAGGAACAGCTTAAATGGCCAGAATAAGAATTTTTTAAATTTATTTTTATTGAAGTATAGTTTATTGACAATGTTGTATTCACTTCTGCTGTAGAGCAAAGTGACTCAGTTATAAACATACGTTCACTTTTTAATATTCTTTTCCATTATGGTTGATCATACGATATTGAATACAGTTGCCCATACTGTACAGTAGGATCTTGTTGTTTATCCAGTCTATACACGATAGTTTGCATCTACTAACTCCAAACTCCTAGTCCATCCCTCCCTCCCTTCCTCCTTGGTAATCACAAGTCTGTCCTCTACGTTTGTATTTGTCTCATAGGTGAGTTCATCTGTGCCTTATTTTAGATTCCACATGTAAGTGATATCATATGGTATTTGTCTTTCTTACTTCACTTAGTATGATAATCTTCAGTTGCACCCATGTTGCTTCAAATGGCATTATTCCTTTCTTTTTTATGTCTGAGTAATATTCCATTGTATATATGTACCACATCTTCTTTATCCATTCATCAATGGATGGACATTTAGGCTGTTCCCAAGTCTTGGCTACTGGGCATTGTGCTGCTATGAACATAGGGGTGCACACATCTTTTTGAATTATAGTTTTGTCTAGACACATGCATAGGGGTAGGATTGCTGGATCATATGGTAATTCTATTTTTAGCTTTTTGGGGTTTTTTTTGGAACCTCCATATTATTTTCTAGAGTAGCTGCACCAGCTTACATTCCTCCCAGCCATATAGGTTTTCCTCCACAGCCCCTCCAGCAATTGCTACTTGTAAACTTTTAAAATGATGGCCACAGAATAATAATTTCATGCTTACTGGATCTGCAGTAGCATAGAACTCAGAACAATGATGTGCCCTGAGCCAGATTCAGGGAATAGGCGTGGGTGCGTGTCAGATGGCTTCACAAGAAATGGTGAGAGCACAGAAGTAGGGTGTGAACATTATGGGTTAACTGTTCTCAGTAGAGTAATACTTGCAGAGAACAGACTGCAAGGCTGCCCTTGACTGTGCAGCTTCACACACAGTGCTCTCTTACACTCTTAAAAGCACTGCCCCGAGATTCAGGGATCCTGTGGTCACCCATTCTTGGTTACAATTTAGTTTTAGATGCTGTATCTGTTGATTAAATACATGAACCTGCACACACATACCTAACACACCCAAATTCACTGTGTCTGTAGCTCCTTCCCGTTGTCTTGTTTTCTCCTTTAATTCAGGTGACAAGAGTCTCTCCTTAACCAAACTCTACTTAGGCTCCTCCGAACTCATTTTCCAACTAGGCCTGGAATTTTGGACTTCCTATTCTTACCTGATGGTTCAGTTTTAGTAGGAAAGTCAGTTTAGAAAGTCCCCATTCCTCCATATCTAGTCAACCTCTGTACCTTTTACTACAGGTGATGGCTCATTACACCAGCCTGCCTATTTCCAGGTTGGGCTTCCCAGATGGCGCTAGTGGTAAAGAACTCTCCTGCCAGTGCAGGTTAGACTTAAGAGACCTCGGTTCCTTCCCTGGGTCAGGATGATCCTCTGGAGGAGGCTGCAACCCACTCCAGTATTTTTGCCTGGAGAATCCCAAGGACAGAGGAGCATGGCGGACTGCAGTATATATGGTCACACAGAGTCGGACACGACTGAAGCCACTTAGCACCTACGCATTAGGTTGGTGGAGCCAGAATACACCGTTACCCTCAGTATTTCCTCATAGGACTTTCCATCCACCACCCCCGACTCTGCTGCTTGGTTATAGATCCCCACTAGTCCGCGTATATTCCAAGCAGACCTCCCCCCACTGTGGCGGTCCTCACACAGACAGAGGAGGAGCCTCGTGAATAAAGTTTGTCTTAACTTCCCTTGGGCTTGCCTGGTGGCTCAGCTGGCAAAGAATCCGCCCGCAGTGTGGGAGACCTGGGTTCGATACCTGGGTTGGGAAGATCCCCTGGAGAAGGGAAAGGCAACCCACTCTAGTATTCTGGCCTGGAGAATCCCATGGACTGTTTAGTCCATGGGGTCGCAAAGAGTCGGATACGACTGAGCGACTTTCACTTCACATCCCTTCCCTTCCCTTAATAAGTGTCTTGAAAATTTTGCCTTTAACATAGGTCTCTGCTCAACTCTTTCAAAAATGGATTTCAGAGACCACCACGCCTAAAACAACTTCCCTGCCTTCCCGTCAACTTTGTTTTTCAGAATACTTACCCTACTGGAAACATATTAATTGATAGGGTTTTGTTTTTCCTCCACATTCTGCCTTGGAATATGAGCTGAGTGAGGGCATGGAAATAGTTTGCCCGTTCCCAAAGCCTTGCACACAACTTGCTGAATTAATATAATGTCCATGGAATCCTAAGAAGTACAGATGGAACGAAGACACATCCTGAGAACACAGAAAAAGCAGGTGGGAAGAAGCCGCGAGTGTGCAGCCAGGGCTTTCACGGGTGCGGGCACAGCCTCGGGGGAGCCTCGCTCAGGCAGCCAGAAGGCACAGAGGGCAAGCCTGCGTTGGGCGTGAGCCTAGAGCCGCCTCGTCTGAAGAGGCTGCGTGGTCCTGGGTCTGAGCGCAGGGCAGACGCCTGAGAGCCCACGTTTCCCCAGGCACCGGACACCGCCCGGCTGACCGTCAAAGTCTCCTGCGGCCCACAAAGACCGGGTCTTGTTTCCGGGGACGTTTCAGGATAGAGCACTCGCCCCCCCCACTTCCGGTCAGGTTGCCTAGCTTCTTCCGCCCCTCGTGTGTTTGGCGGGACCCACCTCGCGACGGGCCACTGCTGCAGGCAGTCAGGTGCTGGCGTGTGGAATCGAAGTTCCGGAGGCCCGGGCCGTGAGAATGTCACCATGGTGGGTTCCCCTAGGTTCCTAGAAGGCCCCGGTCAGTGCCGGGTCGGGGAGGCGGGCCGGCGCCGGGCAGCGGGGAGCGCGTGCGGAGTGAGAACGGGCGGCGGGGCGGGCGAGGGCTCCGCGCGTTCGGGCTCTAGTCCGGCCTCTGCGTGGCTCCGCCCCCCGCCCGTGGGAATGCGCGAGGCTCCGTCTGTTGGCTCCTCAGCGGGTGGGGGTGGGGGCGGAGGGGACGCGGCTGAACTGCTAGCGGCTGGCGTGGCGCGGTCGCCGGGCCTCGGGTCTGCTCCGCGTCTTCCCTCCAGTGACCACTCCCACCCCAGACTCCGCCTCCGCGCCTCCCGCGAAAGAGCGCCTTTGTAGTACGTTTAAATATAAAGATCAACTGTTCAAGGAAATCTCGTTTATTACTCACTCTAAGAAATCCCCATTCTCCTTGAATCTGTATCTCCAGGAGCCACTTAGAGGTAACCAGTATGTAAATTCTGCTTGCTTGTCTTTATACTCACCGCTTGTTTGTATTCCAAAGCTGCTCTTTCTGGCCTTTTTCGCTTCTATTCTTGAGAATAATTCTTGAATACGAACATGGTTTTTAAATATTCATTTTTCAGTTAGTTTCTAACGAAAGCAACGACATAGAAAGTTTCAGTACAGTTCAGTCGCTCAGTCATGTCTGACTCTTTGCGACCTCATGAACCGCAGCACGCCAGGCCTTCCTGTCCATCACCAACTCCCGGAGTCCACACAAACCCATGTCCATCAAGTCGGTGATGCCACCAAACCATCTCATCCTCTGTCGTCCCCTTCTCCTCCTGCCCCCAATCCCTCCCAGCATCTTTTCGTCCCAGGGTCTTTTCGAATGAGTCAGCCCTTCGCATCAGGTGGCCAAAGTATTGGAGCTTCAGCTTCAACATCAGTCCTTCCAGTGAACACCAAGGACTAGTCTCCTTTAGGATGAACTGGTTGGATCTCCTTGCAGTCCAAGGGACTCTCAAGAGTCTTCTCCAACACCACAGTTCAAAAGCATCAATTTTTCGGCGCTCAGCTTTCTTTATAGTCCAACTCTTACATCCATACATGACCACTGGAAAAACCATAGCCTTGACGAGTCGGACCTTTGTTGACAAAGTAACGTCTCTACTTTTTAATATGCTGTCTAGGTTGGTCATAACTTTTCTTCCAAGGAGTTAAGCGCCTTCTAATTCCATGGCCACATCACCGTCTGCAGAAAGTTTATAGTGTGGCAGAAAGGTATCTGGTCTCAGTGTCATTAGTCCCTTTTTATTTTCTTTTTATCATTTTCATTGTATTTTTATTTTTCACATCAGTTTTCCCTTCAGGCTATATACGCTTGTTGGAGAAGGCAATGGCACCCCACTCCAGTACTCTTGCCTGGAAAATCCCATGGATGGAGGAGCCTGGTGGGCTGCAGTCCATGGGGTCACTAAGAGTTGGACACGACTGAGCGACTTCACTTTCACTTTTCACTTTCATGCATTGGAGAAAGAAATGGCAACCCACTCCAGTGTTCTTGCCTGGAGAATCCCAGGGACGGGGGAGCCTGGTGGGCTGCCGTCTCTGGGGTAGCACAGAGTCAGACACGACTGAAGTGACTTAGCAGCATACAGGTTTGTGTAAATTCAGTCTTTTTTACTTATCAGTATATGCAATTGTCAGCTCTTCATAATTTTCTATCCTAACTACTGTTAGTAGTTGGATTGCGTGTTTGTGATTGGGGGGTATTCATTGACATTTGACTGTAGTTGAACTTCACTTTTGTCAGGCTGTACAGTAGGAGTATATTGCCTTATCATGAGTCAGGGAATATAAATCTGTTCTCATTGGCACATTTCCTGCCCTGTCATTTTTCTGGTGCATCAGTCGTGTCTCTGTTGCATCCTGTCTTGAATTGAAACTCAGCTTGGAGCTGGAGGTTCTTCCATCTAGGCATTTGTATCAGTTACTCTATAAACTTCTTTCCAAACTTCTTTCCTGCAGCTCAGAATGTGGGCAGTGGAGTCTTGAGGGATGTTTGGCGCCTGTCTTTGCTAAATTATGGTCTTGATGACGTTAGCTAACCCCTCTAAAACTCAGTTATTCTGTTAAGTTGGAATAATCATAGTGCCTACCTCATAGAATTATGAAAATTAAATGTAAACAGCTTAGCCCAGTGTCTGTTGCTTAGTGAATGTTAGTTATTGCAATTACCTTTAATAATAGCAGAGGTACCTGATGGTCATTTGTATATATTCTTTGGAAAAGTGTCTATTCATATCCTTTGCCCAGTTTTTAATTAGATTTTTGTTGTTGTTGTCATTGAATTGTATGAATTCCGTTTATATTTTGGATACTAACTCCTTATCATGTAGGTGATTCTGCCAATATTTTCTTCCAACTTCTGTAGGTGCCTTTTATTTTGTTGATCATTTCTTTTGCTCTGCAGAAGCTTTATCATTTGATGTAGTCCCACTTGCTTATTTTTGGTTTTGTTGCTTGTGCCTTTAGTTTCATAACCAGTCGTTGCTGAGGTCAGTGTCAAGGAACTTTTCTCCCTATGTTTTCTACTAAGAGTTTTGCAATTTAGGCCTTACATTTTTATCTTTCATCTATTTTGAGTAAATGTTTGCAAGTGTTGTAAGGGAGGGGACCAGTTTTATTCTTTCGCATGTAAATGTCCAGTTTCCCAGCACCATTTGTGGAAGAGACCGTCTTTCTCCCACTGAGTCTTATTGGCTCCCTTGCCAAGTTGGCTCTATATGCCTGAGTTTGTTTCTGAACTTTCAATTCTGTTTCATTTGTCTTATGGCTATTAGTATAATAAATATTAAAGAGGTTACCTGCTAGTAAAAACTTCCTCCTAAAAGTTAGTAAAAATTAAAGAGAAACATTAATGAAAATCTACCTAGTATACTGACCTTTTTTGGAGTAGTGTTACATGTATGTGGTTTAAAAAAAAAAAAAAGTAAAATATGGTTGTCCTTGAAAAGTGCACCAATTTCCTCTTACTTCTGTGAAAAATTAATACAGATGTAATGGCTTAAAACAACACATTCATTCTCTTACATTTCTGGATATCAGAGTCCAAAAATGAGTCTTTTAAGCTAAAATCCAGGTATTGCTGGGGCTGTCTTCCTTCAAGAGGCTCTAGTGGAGAATCTCTTTCCTTTTTCCAGTGTCTGGAACTTGCTTACGTTCCTTGATTCTGGCTCCTTCCTTCATCTTCAAAGCCAGCAGTGTAACATTTTCAAATTCACCTTAAGAGGAGGCCACATCATCTTTCTCCCCAGTAATCCTCCTGCCTCTCTCTTATAAAGACCCTTGCAGTTATTTTGGACCCATGTGGATAATCCAGGATAATCGTCCCATCTCAAGATCTTTGATGATATCTGTAAAGTCCTTTTTGTTATGTATGGTAATACATTCACGAATATGGGAGAATTAGGGCATGGACATCTTTGGAAGGGAGTACATTATTCTATATACAACAGAAAGTAAGTCTGCCTCCAACTCTGTTACCTAATTCCCAAGCTCAACTGAGAAACAGCCATTGTAGAACCCAGTTTCTAGATAACTGTTCGTATATTTCATATGAATATGCCAGCATACACATCTTCTAATCCCACCCATCTTTAATAGAAACAGTATGTCAGACACAGTCCTATGCCACTTACTTTTTTGTTGTACCTAATCTTAGACCAATCTGTGTACATGCATATAGATCTACTTCCCCAACCAAGGATCTAAACCCATGCCCTTAGTAGTGAAAGAGCAGAATCCTAACCGCTGGACCACCAGGGGAGACATGTGATTTTTATCGTGATAAGAATTGCCTTCCAGAAGATTGTACCAATTTATTGATACATCCCACTTATTAGTGAGACTGCTAACTCACCAACAGTGTTAATAATTTTTAAAATCATTTTTATACATTAAAAATTGCAGTTTATTTGCACTTTTTTTAAAAATAGATTTTATTTATTTAAATTTGGCTGCACTGCGTCTTCATTGCTGTATGTGGACTTTCTCTAGTTGCCGCGAAGCAGAGCTACCCTCTAGTTGTGGTGCACAGGCTTCTCTTTGCAATGGCTTCTTTTGTTGCAGAGCACAGGTTCTAGGTACAGGCACATAAGTAGTTGTGATGTGTGGGCATAGCTGCCCTGCAGCTTGTGGAATCTTCTTAGAGCAGAGATTGTACCTGTGTCTCTGCATTGGCAGGTGAATTCTCAACTGCTGAACCACAAAGGAAGTTCTGAGGTTTCGATTTACATTTCTCTTAAGGTAGAGCACACATCTTTTGAAAACTTTAAAAGCACTTAATATATACTCTTTCTTGTGACCTTTTTTTTTATTTTAGGTTACTAAATTTTTTTCTTATTGATTTTATGTTGATGCCTGTTACCCTGTAGGTGCTTACTAAACATCTGTTCATCTGAGCTTAGCCTTTGTGCGGCATTAAAGTATCACATGTAACCCCATCTAAAATTTCTATCTTTAGCCCAGGCCTTTTTTTTTTTTTTTTTTTTGGTGCCAGACTAATAAATTTATTCATTTACTTCACATTTCTACTTAGCTGTCTTCAGGACATCTAAACCTGAGTCTAAAAGTGAGTTCTTGATATCCTCTGTCTCTATGTGCCATTCCTATTTTAGTAAGTGGAAGCTCTGATCACTTTGTTGCTTTCTTGCAAACCTGGGACATACTCTAGGAGGTGGGTCAAAAAGGTCTTGCTATAATTTATGTCAGAGTGTTCTGCCTATGTTTTCTAAGAGCTTTAAAGGGTCCAGCCTTATGTTTCAGTCTTTAATGCATTTTGAGTATATTTTTGTGTATGGTGTTAGAGAGTGTTGTGATTTCGTTCTTTTACATGTAACTGTCCAGTTTTCTCGGCACCACTTATTGAAGAGACTATCTTTTCTCTATTGTATATTCTAGCCTCTTTTGTCAAAGATTAGGTGACCATAGGTGTGTGGGTTTATCTTGGGTTTCTATCTTGTTCCATTGAT